GGCTTGCTTTTCATTTGGAATAAATATTTTACATAAGGAATCATTAAATGAAGTTAGTAAAAAAAAAAAAAAAAAAACTTCAAAATTCACATTGTTTAAAGTAGCTATTCAAAAAAAATTCAGTTTTACCTTTGTTAATTATTTTTTTATCAATTCACTAATAAAACATAGTAATTCTACTGGTAAGGAGTCTTCAGGTAGCTATATTGTTTTGGTTTAGTCCAGTGGTTTTTATAACCATTAGATGGTGACACCATTCTAACCCATCCCATTTGGCAGTAACTGTAGATATTTTTGATTGTCAAGTTTTGAGGAAGGGTACTGCTGGAATCTGCTGGGTAAAAAGCTAGAGATAATATTGAACACCCTACGGTGCACAGGACATCATCCATCCCCCTATCTCCCCTTCCCCCCCACTGCAGAGAATGATTTTGCCCAGGATGTCAACAGTGGTGAGACAGAAATCCTATTTATTGACAAAACCCTATATTTGGACTGTATTTGGTTGAAAAGCGTACGAGCTATTATTCCATGAGCTTTACTCTTTATTGTGTTTTTTTAGAATATGCCATTTAAAAAAAAGGTTGCTTATTTTTAATCTCCAGAGAACATAATATTTTAAATATTTAATATTCTGTTTAATAAAGTTTATTTTTCTTGTTGAAAGAGCTGTTGGGCAAATTACTTTTACAGGACAACTATTAATACCTTGAGGCTCTAGTTGCTTTTTTAGGAGTTTGTTTTCTATATGTGAAGGAAAAAAACAAAGAAAATCAGAACTGTAACCTTCATTCATCATAAGCGCCTTGAGATCTTAATTGTGAACAGTTACTAGAAACTAGCACAATGCCCAGTGCCAAGAATGTAGTAGACTCTCAGTAACTCTTCAACGGTAAGATGAAAAGGTGTGCAGATTACCTGGTGTACTTTGTGCTTTGCAAGTTGGATAAGACGTCTGATTATGCACCCTAGGTCATCTTCAAGTTTACTCTCAATGCTTTAGTTGAACTCCCGTTTCCCCTCCCCCTGCATTCCATATGGTTAAGAGACTGAAGTCTTCTTTCTAAGGAAATAATAGTAATAGTTAGAGGCTAGTGACATTTGTTGTATGTCAGTTTGTGGGGCTAACTTTAAAGTTATTTTCACAGTATGAGATAATACTGTCTTTATATTACAAGTGAGAAAACTCAGACTTAGTGATAGAGTTAAGATTCAGACCCTGGTATGTTTCACACCAGATCTATTCTCTGAACCACTGCAAACTGACAGTGTAATTTTCTCCTCGAGAGCCAGACTGCCTAGGCTTTGTAGTATTATCTGAGGAAAGTGGTTTAACCTCTCCCGCATTTCTAAAATGTACATAATAGTGTTACCCTCAAGGTTGTTGGGTATGTTAATACATGCTTCGAACAGTACTGGCACCGAGGGATTGCTTAATTTTAGCGCTTCTAATGATTATAATTAATATCTTCTTTGTAGAAGGGATTTGTGACTGCCTCAGGTATTACCAAATACTGGCTTTGTGTCCTGCTTTACATGAGTTGTCTTGAAAGGAATAGAAATATAAAATCTGAATCTTGCCCTTAAATATAAATGTGAATCTTGTAGTCTATTTGGGAAGACAAAAAAATAAAAATAAAAATGAACCTAACAAGAATAATCAAGTAAACAAGACTAAAAATGCAAATAGAATTCAGTTTGGGGAAATGCACCTAACAGCTTAACATTTTTCTTTTCAAGTATATACCAGCTTTTTAAAGTTCATGCTGGAGACTTCTGTGCCAGTATCATCAGGATATTGGCCTTCTGGCTTTGCTTTTGTTTTCTTATCCACCCTGAACTCCATGGCCAGTCACCTGCTTGGCAGGTGACTCAGATCCTTTATCATTGTCATCCCCTCCAGGCTGCATCCCCAGTGCCCAGCAGGCTTGAACTCTCCCTGTTCCCTCCCTTGGAATGTTGGTGAGGATTAGCACCGTTATTTTTGGATTCCTACATTAGCTGATCCTTGATACCGATCTTCAGTCATTTTACTTTTCCATAGCCAGCTTCCTTCCCTAGAGGGTATTTCCAAATATTTACTACTTTCTCTCTCTCTCTCTCTCTCTCTCTCTCTCTCTCTCTCTCTCTCTCTCTCTCTCTCTCTCTCTCTCTCTCTCTCTCTCTCCCCCTCTCTCCCTCTCTCTCTCCCTCTCTCTCTCAACCCATTAGACATCATTGTGGCCTCTCAGTTTTGAATACTACAGAGGCTTTCAGAATTAGCTCCCCTTTACCCCCTGCCCCAGCTGTCATCTATTAGACTTATTGCTAAAATTAAAATGACCTTGACTTCAGCAACATCTCTTCTCTTGACTGGCTTCCCTCTGGGGTTTGTGTCCTTCCACACCATCTGATGCCTTTCTCAGTTTTACCTCTTACCAGTTCTCAGTTTCCCTGTATGCATTTTCTTCTTGTTGCTCCTGTCACTGTGATTTTCTTCTGGGAGATTTCACTCACTGCCATGGCTTTGTTTGCCAATTGCATACCAGCGAACCCCACTTTTGCAGCCCAGATCTCTCTCATGAATTGTAGATGTATATTTCCAACAACCTACTAAATCCTTGCAACTTGGAGGTTCCAGGGGCACTTTGGAACTGACTTTTTTTTGTGGCGATCCTTCCGCCTCAGCCTTCCAAGTAGCCGGAATTACAGGCATGCGCTACCATGCCCGGCTGATTTTTTGATTTATTGTAGAGATGAGGTCTCGCTGCCCAGGTGGGTCTCGAACCCGCGGGCTCAGGCAATCCACTCACCTCAGCCTCCCAAAGGTGCAGGATTACAGGCTGAGCCACCGAGCCCGGTTTGGAACTGACTTTTAACAATAGACCCGAATAATAATATGTACCCACTTCTTCCAAAACAAAGGGAAGAATTCATAAGATTTTCCTGTTCCCTACTATCTTCTGTTACCTTCTTGGTTTGACAGCCTTTTTACACGTTTCTTATGTCTCTGTGCTTTCTAATCCATTCTTAGAAATAACTGGAAAGGACAATTAATTTTATGTTCAATAAACTCTCAAGAACTCTCATTGCCTTTAGTTTAGATTGAAAATCTAGTTTCTAGAACATGTTGGTTTTCTGTAATGAGATTGAGAGAAAATTGACTGATGATCTTGTCCCAATTCATAAAAGAATGTTGTGTTTTTAAAAAGTTTTTCTCTGTATCTTACAAAATTTTACTACCAGCCACCACTTTTTATGCTTAGTATCTGAGTGTACAAATGTCTCATTTTTCAAGCCTTTCATAATTTGACTTTACCCCTCTTGTCAACTTTATTTACTTCCATGGCTCACTTACTTGTAGAGTCTATTTCAATTCTTGTGTGCCACCTACACTTACTTGCTGTAAAACCCTGAAAATCAAAATCAAGAAAATCAAAATGGTATTAACACTATTACCTTTTTGGATTATGAGGATTATGTGAAACAATGCATTGAAAGGGCCTAGCACGTAGTAAATACTCAAGAAACATTAGCTGGCGTGATTCTATTGCTATGCCTGCCCTACTCCTTAGCCCAAATGTGCTTTGTTCGCTCTTTGTCCACGCTATTCCCAGGTCCTGGGATGCCTCATTCTTTCTTCTTCCCACTTCCTGTGTCCACTCCTCTTTTAGAGTTCAGGGCTTCTAGGAAACTTGGCAGCATGTAGCCCTTTCTCACCCACCCTGTCCTTTGCAGGGCATTCCCTCATTGGTGCTTTTTGTACCTGCCTCTAATTGGATCATTGTATTTCATTACAAGTTAGACTTTGAGTTCCTTTTCAGTGGTAGGGATTCATTCTCAATCTATTTATATCCTGGTGTTACCTGCCTGTCGATCTATTTATATCCTGGTGTTACCTGCCTGTCTTGTTGCTGTTTTTTTGTTTTTTCTGTCAGTAAATATAAATGCTGCCATCTATATTATCTCTTTTAATCCTATAGCCACCCTGTGGTAGGGAGGTGTTATCGTTTCCAGTTTCCACTTATGGAAACGGAGGCTGGCTGAGGTTAATTGATTTGCTCCCCCCACCACATAGTGTGTAAGTGTTGTAAATCTAGAATTCCCCACAATTAATAACTTACTATATTGTATAAATATCCCTTATACTTGACATTTGTTTTTATTTATAATATAAATAGATTAGCATTTAATTTCATGATGTGTGAAACATCTCAACAAATTAGGGTTCAACTGATTCAGAATTGTTATAGTTTGATCTGTATAGAGCTTGCTGTCTTTATACTATGTATTATTGCTTAACTAAATAATTAGGTAAGTATATTTAAGATATTGAACTTTTTATACAACATTTGCTTAATATGTTGAGTAGTTTGTACTTGAAAGAATTAACATTGTAGTTTTTCCAAGATTTAATTTGAATTTTCACTAATTTCAGTGAACTTTTATTAAATTTTATGTATCTAGTAACATCCTTCAGATAATATGTATTTGTATGCAAACAATAGACCTTTCTTAGTCTTTATGTAGGAACATCATTTTAAGGTCATGTAATAATAAATTTGGATAATGTAATGATTTGTTGTAGCTTTTGTATTCAATGAGAAACACTGATTCTTATAGTGAGGGGAGGGAATGGGGAAATAGATTATTAAACCCCCAAAGTATTGCATTTCATTAACTTTATAGTTTAAAGCCACATGAGTAGGGTATATGTTACAGTTATCCTGGAAGTTGTAATTGTAGATTGAGTTATATCATAAACTCCAAAGAATGAGGGACAGTTTCCTTTTTTTTTTTTTTTAAAGAAAATATAGAGTTGAAAATGAGCAGTACTTATTGTCTCATTGTATATTATTCCTCAAATTTAATTCAATTTGCTTTGCTTTATTGTTTTTGGTTTTAGGTTTGCTTATTTAAAAACATTTATAGCACATTCATCTCATTACAGAATTACAGGGCTAAAAAAAGATTTTATAAAATATTTTCCTCCTGTAATAGTAATATTTGTTTGATTTTAGGGAAGCTATGCGAAATTATTTAAAAGAGCGAGGGGATCAAACAGTACTTATTCTTCATGCAAAAGTTGCACAGAAGTCATATGGAAATGAAAAAAGGTAAGATTATTGTTGTTCGGTAGACAGTAAATTGTAGTGATTACATGAATCTGCAAAAGATGTATTCATATGCATGTCAGAGGAAGTCTTCTATTACTGGGCTAATTTGCTAGTATAAAATGAAACATAGGGGATTTGTCCCTTGAAGGAGAGACATAAATTGTGGCATACTCAAGCCAGAAGGAGAATTTAGTAAAGATCATCTGACTAAGTTTTACTCTGACCTTACAAAATGAAATAATTCACAATTTTTCCTTTGGGCTACATAATGTTACCCAAGTACTTTAGTGATACATTAGCTCATTCACAAATAAGCTTTCCTCTTGGTGGAAAATGTAGTTTTTTAAACAGATATGACCCCAAATGTGTCATTTTTAAAAAGGAAAAAGCTAAACAAACCCTGATCCTAAAACTGTCTTGAACAGTTTAATTGAGCTATGGAGTGATTATAAAGAAAAGAGCTGCTAAACTTCTCTTTCTTGACCCTCTTGCCTATTCTGGTTGTTAAGAAAAAAACAGCAAAACTGGGTTCATACTCATATGACCTGAATATAAGCACAACAAAAATTATCTATAGATTAACCAAAAATGAATTATAGCAAAAGTGATCTTTACACTTACACTAAGTATTTCTTAAAGTATCCTAGAATTTCAACATTTTTTTGTGAGTGATTGTGGACTTATGTTGTTGATAGTTTTTTCCGCTTGGTTCCTGGAATTTTCTTGTGACTAGTTTCTTGAGTCTTTGTCTTTCATATGGCTCTGGGGGGCGCAGGGGTAAGCATTTCATAAATAAAGATAGCTTCCTTGTGGGGAAAGATCAGAGGTTTTTTGATTGGCTAGAAAGCTACCAAACTAAAGGGAAGAGGAATGAAAACTCAGGTTTGGGGTTGAGTTGGAAGGAATGAGTGGAATCTTAGAGATGGTGGCATTAAAGAAATCTTAGCATATGCATAAGAGATAGGAAATGTAAGTATATGATTAAATTAGTTTATATGCTAGAAGGAAATTAGGAAGTTCCTTTCTTAAAGCTGATTAAAACTGAGCTGAAAAGAAGATGAAGCTGTTTAGTTGATCTTATCCTCAAGGAGGATGAACAAATAAAAACAATATTTGGGATTTATATTGCCAAGTGTTGTTTAGGTTTACTCAATTTCTGATTTATCTTACTTTGCTAATAAAATTTAATCACTGATATAGGGTTAAATATGGGAAGAAGTGGATGTCTACAGTTTGGGACACAGAATACCACATCACGTTAGGGGTCCTATTTGTCTCATGACTTTGATACTGGAAATTCAGTATTTTCTTTTCCAGTAATGAAATTTGTGTGCATATATAAGCAGTCCTCTGTTTTCTAAGCAAACCATAACAAGTCAGCACCTCATTGCTGAAGAAGAATATGATAGGGCAGCTGTGTGCCCCATCATGACTCTGAAGAAGCTGCAGTTTCCATATCAGCTTTTAAGCATGAGCCAGACATTTTCCTGGAAATGCTTTTAAATATGTAAAAACTTTAATCCTCAGAACAGTCTTGTAAAGGAGGCATGTTAAAATCTCCCTCCATTTTGTGGGTGAGTAGACTAAACATCAGAGACTTGAACGTGCCCAGTTTCGTGCTAGTTAGAAAGCTGTGTAGCTAGGATTGGAACTCTTGAGGCTCCAGTTCCAGATTTCTTACTCTTTTTACACTCTCAGTTGTCATAACCTTCCGTTTTGTGTTTTGAGTGTTGGTTACCTACAGCAGGGTTTGAGGGTAGAGGAGGTAAAGATACTTAAAGAATGAAAACTTACCACCTTTTTACCCTTAGCTAGGTAGACTTAGATGTTTATGGCAGTACTTCATACTTGGGTGGGCTGGTTTTCTTTCTCTGGATTTTTGAAGATGCATTTTAAGTGCAGTTGGATTCATTTATTCTTTCTGATCGCTTGTTAGATGCCAGCAGTATGCAAAAGGACTTTACTGGGAGTTCTAAAAGTCACTATGTCATTTAGTTGGGTGACCAGAGGCTGAGTGGAGATGACAAAAGGGGAAGAGCTGAGGTCTGGATGAGGTTCCTTCTTGTTAGTTCCTGGGAAAAATACATGAATATAGAGCTGTACTGGCTTATCAAGTTAAAATAGAAAAGTTAGCCATATCTCTTATTGTAGGAGCTTTTATTTTCAGTTTATTTCTACTACTTGAGTATGGCCTAGCAGGTCTAAAACTCCAGTCAAAAGAAAATTAGAGACCCTAAGCTTTTAAGGCCTCCAAAAAATGAAGGAAAAAAATAATGAAAAGACCAGAGCCACTATCTTTTAATATTTTTTATTAAAAAGTTGTCAAAGTAGACATGCATTACTTTATGATAAAGGGGAAACACATTAAATTTACCCCCTTTCTCTTTTTAAAGAAGTGCTATTGGTAAGGGCCTCCATTGCGAGCCCAGCCCTCTGGCTGACTGGCAAGCTCTGCTGGATCAGAGGAGGAGGCCTGGTCCGTACTTATTGGTGGAGTGCCCAGTGGAAAGAGGAAGGTCTGCCTTCTTTCTTGCTGATCCTGGTTCAGGCCTTTTTGAAGAGCTGCTAAAGCATAAGGCGTGCGGTCACCTGGGGACATGACCACAGTCCTCTTGGCCGAGTCCCTTTGGCATATAAAACAGCTCCATTGAATGATGTTAAAAAGTATTTGGTCAGGAAATTTTATTCTAAAATTTCAAATTGTCCTTGATACTAACTATGGAGTCTAATAATGAGTGTTTATTTGCATAGCACATCTGACACTCCAATTATGTTAGTGATTAGTGTTAATTTTTCATTAAAGAAGGTCTTCCCAGGTTAAAAAGTAAACTTTTAAAAAAAGATTATTTTATCTAGAGGAAATGTTAATATGTCATTTGACATAGTAATATTCAGCTTTCTCAAAGTAATTAAGCAATAGCGTAATGATACTGTTTAGACAATCAGCAGTAAAGCTATTTAGACAAACTATGATTCTGAAGTCATATTGAGAATTGTGGTAATTGGAGTAATTGTGGTATGCAGAAGTTCTTAAATAAGTTTCTTTGAATGGAAAAATCATCAAAGGGTAATGATTCTGTGATGGTAGTCAGATAATGTAGATGACATGACTTTGAATTTTGTTTAGCCTAACCTATTTTATATGTTGGACTGAATAAAAGCCTTATTGGAATCTGTAAGGTAGTTTTTAGGGCTCATCTTAAGATTTGAGAAAAAGTTGTTGAAATAGTCTCTGAAAATAAAGATGGATTGTTTGAGCTATGATATTAATAAAATCTTAAATGTGTGCATATCGCCACCAAGTGGCACAGGAAAGCATTACTTTTCACAGTTGCTTAGAGCTACTGGGAAAGATGAAAATAAAGGGCAGCTTTGTTTCATAGGGTTTCTTTTTATAGCAGCTGTTAAATTCTGTAAGCCAACCACTTACTGGTCAGACTTTTCACTGAGTATTTGGTACATATCGACCAGCTGTCCCAAATTTTTTAAAATAATCAAAGGTTTCACACGCCATTGTAAAGATGCATTTTTATTTTCATTCTGTTAATTTGGTGGCCTTTTAGTCTTAGCCCACTTTAGTTCCTTTTGTCTGTGTTCTTCCCTTTTTTGTATAGATGATTATTTTCTATTTGATTACAGTATTGTTGTTGATACGTATGAAAATTAAACTATGATCTATTTGTTGGTTTTTAGGGTTGACAATATTGGGATGTTTAAGATAGAATTGCATCAGTGTTTAGATTATATCAGATTTGCAGTCTTCTTCCATCAAGCCTTTTTTGAATAGTCGTAGAGTTAACATTAAAAAAAAATACCCAGCTATCTTGGAGTATATTGAAAAATCTTCTTTTTTTTTTTACAGTTTTTACAGTTAGAAAGCACTTTCAAGGTAGAAACTTGGTCCGTGTTCCTAATTTTTTACCCTGTTTAATGCATTTTGTTACAGTGCTCTTGAGAAGACTAGCCACTACTCATTCTTTGACTGGATAACCTTTTTATATTTTTCAGATGTGAAATAAAGGCACCTTTTATGATAACTTGTTGAGATTTGACTGTTGCATTTGGTATACAGGGTGTGCATTCTCAAATCCAAAAATCTGAAATGTTCCAAAATCCAAAAATTTTGTGCACCAACATGACGCTCCAAGGAAATGCTCACTGGAACATTTCAGATTTCAGATTTCCAGATTTGGGATGCTCAGCCTGGTAAATGTAAATGCAAATATTCCAAAATTTATATATATATATATCTGAAATCCAAAGCAATTCTGGTCCCAAGCATTTTGGATAAGGGCTAATCAGCCTATATACTATACTAAAGCACAGCTTGAAGTTTATAGCTGGTAAATCAATTTACTGTGGAGTCCTAATATCAGTGTTTAATAAAATACTAATAGGAGACATGTTTCCAAAACTGATGCCTTCTCAGTCTCTTGAAAATATGCCAGCCTATGTGTTTGAGCCTGTGCCATGGTAAGCATTGGATAGCTCCCAGTGTTAGAAGCCAGAAAGTTCCCTGGTGTAGACTTGAACTGAACCGACTTCAAAACTAGCCCAGCTAATCTAGGCATCCCTCCAAACTTGGAGTGACCTGGAGCTGGGCCCACTACCTTGGCTGTGACCTTTATATCCTTGGCCTCGGTGTGAATATTCAGGCATGATGACTGCTCTTTCTTCCTGTTGGTTTGGGTGAATGTGAGAGACTACAGAGGCATACCTCCTCACTCAGTCTAATCCCTGGGGCCCACTTGATCCATTATCCGTCTCCTCTGGCTTCCCCCGCTGTTGGTCCTCTCCTCTTCTCTGCTCCAGCCACTCTGGCCTGGTTATTGCTTCCTGCCTTCCTGCCTTAGTGCCTTTGCATTTGCTCTTCCCTCTGCTAAAATGCCCTTGCCCCGGATGTCCACATGGCTTTAAGCTGTGACTCAAAGTCACCTTAAGGAAGCTTTCCCTGGCCCCCTGGGTTATCTCCATTTCATGTACCCCTTCCCCGCTTTATTCTTTTCCCATAGTACTTAGCATCAACTGACAAGTGCATACATGCGTTATTTTACCCACTTTTCTTCTTTTATTTTCTCTCTCTCCTATTAAAGTATAAGTTACATGAGGATAGAAATTTATCTGATTTTTTTGTTTGCTTGTTTGATTTTTTTACTGTATTTTCAGTGCCTGGTACAAACTTGGGATGTAATAATATGGACAATTAATGAATATTAAATAAACCCAATTCATTTGTTGTAAGTCATATATATAAATTACCTCTTTTTGGTGAGGTTTGAGCAAAAAGTAGGCGCCATTATATATTTTGCATCATTGACACAAACAAGAAGTAGATTCTGTTACCTTCAGGAAGGCCCGAGAGCCAAATCTAACCTGCTGGTCTCTGTGTATATGCGTGTGTACACACACATCCACAGGTTTTTTTCTTTTAGTCTGCACATTGTTGACCCACAGACTGTTAATAAATATAAATCAGTTGCCAAATTTTTAGAATAGGAATTTCATAAAATTTGATTTCAGGCATATGTTGAACAATTGGAGAATGTGACCAACATTAGGACTACATGCCAATAGCTTAACCCTGTGAGTGTGAGTGAGTATGTGCACACCAGAGGTTTCTTATGGCAGGATTAGAGAAGTAAGAAATGTTTTTCCATACTCCTAACAATACAAAAGTGAGAATTACTGTGGGGGCAGTGTGTTTCAAGCAGGGAAGGAAACCGCTTCTTTGGGTAACTAAAGGATATCTCCACTAATTTATTGTATAACTTGCTTACCCATTTATATTACTTAGCTGGCTACTGTAGGTATTTGAGTTTTCAGGCCCCTTGGAAAGATGTGGTGTGAGTGTTAGAAAGGATGGGTGCGGTAGGCACGATCATGCCCATAATCCCATCACTTTGGGAGGTCAAGGTGAAAGCATTGCCTGAGCCCAGGGGTTTGAGATCCGCCTGGGCAACTTGGTAAGACCTCATCTCTACAATAAGTCAGAAAAGTAGCTGGGTGTGGTGGTGCGTGCCTGTTATTTCAACTACTTGGAAGACTGAGGTAGTGGAAGGACTGCCTGAGTCTGGGAAGTCGAGGCTGCGGTGCTGTAAGTGTGCCACTGCACACCAGCCTGGGCGATAGAGTGAAACTCCGATTAAGAATGTACAAGTCAGCATTTGAACTGAACAACAAGTGAATTACACCCTACATAAGAATTGTATTTCTGGTCTGAACTGTGAAAAATGTGAGGCCTGAGCTAGGCTTTGAAATAGATACTTTTTTAATTGCTAAAGAGAGGATTATAGGGGAGTCATTCTCAATGGGAAGAATTTGTTAACAGGCAACTAGCAAAACAAACCTGTGTCAGTTGAAAGAATACAGTGTATTGTTCTTTTAGCATGATACATTTCTCAGTCATCATAATGTACCAGGTGTTCAGGGTGTAGGATACATATTAATAAAACACAGCAATGTTTTGCAGAGCTCATAATCCAGTGATCTTTGTTTTCGACTCTTCTACCTAGTTTTATTAATATTTTGAAAGTTTCTACCTGGGGCATAGCCCTAATGCTGTTGTCCAGGTTCGTTACCAAATAAAGTTAAATGTAATATTAGTAGCAGTAAATGTCACTCATTTATAATTGTATCATTGTGAGTACACCTTAACTAGTAATCACTGATTTTGTGGTGGCTTATCACGTTTTGTAACATGTTAAGAGTACATTGGATTTGCTGTACTCCAGTAGTTTAGAACTCTGAGCTTTATAAAAAAAATTTTTTTGAGTCTCACTGTTGTCCAGGTTGGAGTGCAGTGGCACACTTACAGCCACCGCAGCCTTGACCTGCTGGGCTCTGACAATCCTTCTACCTCAGCCTTCCAAATAGCTGGAACTACAGGTGCACACCACCACACCCAGCTAATTTTTTTATTTATTGTAGAGTTGAGGTCTTACCCAGTTGCCCAGGCCTAGTCTTGAACCATGGGCTCTGGTAGTCCTCTCACCTTGGCCTCCCAAAGTGATGAGTTTACAGGCATGAGTCACCACATCCAGCCTATATGAAAATTTAAAGAGAAGTCCTCTGCCCTAAAAAGTATCTAGTCTAAGTGAATGCGTAATTCCAGTATTTTACATGAACAGATGTAGACTTTGTGAACATCTTGATTTCTGTCTTATGGACATGATTGTTTGTGTTATAGAAGACTTCACCAAAATTTTTCATCTGGAGCTGAGTACATTTCAATACGATTTTGTATTTATAATGTTCAAGAAGAGGAAATGCTTTCTCAATTCTAATTGCTTTGTGGTTTTTCCCTCCCATTATTCTTCAGGTTTTTTTGCCCTCCTCCTTGTGTGTATCTTATGGGCAGTGGATGGAAGAAAAAAAAAGAACAAATGGAACGTGATGGTTGTTCTGAACAAGAATCTCAACCATGTGCATTTATTGGCATAGGAAATAGTGACCAAGAAATGCAGCAGCTAAACTTAGAAGGCAAGGTAAATCAAGACTGCTAACTCCCCATAAAAGGGCATCATGGTACCAGAATGTAGTTTTTGTAATCATTTTTATGGTGGTGATTTTAATGGCTATTGGTGGCAGTTTCTTAAGTATACAAATTAGAAGCAGAAATCTGGCTCTCAGGTAGCTGTGGATTCATGGAACTCGTGCTGTTGACATCTGAAGGTGGCAGGCAGAAAGCTTCCCCAGCTTGCAGGCAATTTTAGCAGTCTTAAATCATTTCTTTTTGGAGCCGAATAAATTTCGGAGGCTAATTTTTCATCTTCTGTTTGACAGGGATGTGATGCTCAAATATCAATGAAAATACATTGCTAAGTATTGTTTTGCTCTGCTTTCTTAATCTTAGTTCTATACTAGAAGCGATGATATAGACAGGTTATACAAATCATAAACATTTGCTTAACGTCAGTGTGAAGCAGAACTAGACTGTAGACAGCAACAGCCACAGTTGGCTTTTCTAAAATGGTGGGGGATTTTTGATTAATTTGCTAGGGACAGACTTATCAATTGCTTTTACTAATCGTGTTCTCTAGATTTAGAAAGCAAGGCTTTAATATTTTAAAATAGTTATTTATTCACTTAGAATTTAACTATCATTTTCCCTTGATAATAAAATTTGGAAAATACCTCTCATGTCAATGACCACATGAATATCTTTTAAAATAGTGTTTAAAAGCCATTTCCTTGCTTGATAAATCCTTGTTGACTGTCTTGGTGTTTGCTCTTGTATCTCTCACTAGGGATGGATGGGAGTCTGGGGGGGTGGGAGTTGAACTGGGAAATGTGCACTCTCAAATGCCACTTCAGTCATCTTGCCGATGGTGAGTACTAGGAAGCCTTCATGTCAGTCTCCTTCAAATTTGGCTATTGGTATGTCATTTAGGTCTTCATAGTTTTTATCAGTAAGACTTACTGACTTTTGAATTAGGTTTGGGATAATATAATAATAAAGGTTGTTTCATCTTAAAAGAAAATAAGCCAATAAAACCATTTCTAAATAAAGGTGCTTGAGTAAAAGTAAAGACTATATTTATTTAAGTAGTTGATCTGATAGATCTTAGCTGTGTCTAATCTGTTTTCTTGTTACATAGAAAGTCTCGGAATTATGTATCTCCAGGCTGCACATCTAGACATTTAGTTTTGTGAATGAGTGGATCAAATAGGTAGTGAGAAGCCAGGAATTCTTGCTACCAGTGTATATGTAACTGTTTAATTCTACTTCATTGCTTACTTGAACCAGTTCCAGCTTCCAATAATTTTAAGTGAGGTAACACCAAACAGACCAACCAGTAATATCACTCCTTGCCTTTGCCAGCATCACACCTTAGCAGTATTACGTTCAAGTTTACCTTTTGGGCTTGCCTCAGCATGGAGATCTTCCTGCTAACTTTCATTTTATCTTTCTTCAGCTTCCACATTATACCTTTCCCCAAGGCCTAGAAATTGGCAGAAGAGGAAGGGAATATAAAGCACACGCATTTAACTGGTATTTAAAAAACCTAACGGGCTATTACAATGTCTGTAAGCCACAATTTTATGTTAACATTTAATTTTAAGGCTGTTTAGATAAAAGGTAGGAGTGGTGAGAGTTAGCAGAGAGCATTTCAGTCAGAAACAGCAACATAATCATGTGCTTGGAGCATAAAGATGGTTGGTACACAGGTAGGCAAAGATGTCCCAAGCAGTGGGCCGCTGAGCTTCAGTAAGAGGTGCTTTGCCCTTGTATGCCTCAATCAGTCTCTTCATTCACATAAGGAAATAATGTTTTCTTTTAATAGTCTGTTCATTGAATGGTACAATTAACCTTATTGAAAAATAAGGGATAATTCTTTTGCATTATTTGGTGTTCATACTTATTTTAAATATTTATTACAACAAAATCCTAGTATATCTAGCTCTTTAAATTTATAGTCATGACATCTGACCATATGTTGGTGATATTTTGGATTTGAGATTTTATTTAATGATGTTTTTAATTTGTGAAATATTATTTTCTTAATTTTACTCTTTTTTTTGCATCTTGGTCAGCTGTGCAATAAAGATAATTTTCCTAATTAGCACACTTGTGTTTTCTTTTTTAAAAATATTATATACTCTTGGTTACGTTGCTTTGTTTCTGTAACTAAAATATTTTTACAATATCATTTTTGCAACATTAAATTTGATATTTCTTTTTCATTTCAGGGCAGTGTTTTTATTGCCTAAAGATCTTCAAAGAATTGTTGCTAGAGAGATTATTATATCATGTTTTCTGTTCTAGAATTCCATTAAGTGAATTTAGCCTTTTAGTATGGCAAAGCAAATGTCATTTTACTTTCATGTGTTTGTTATCTGAGTCAGTGGCTTTTTCCTTTTTCCTTACGGAATTTGAGTAGTTTGTGGTCAGTGGCCTTACAGTTTTTTTAAAAAATTAATAGTTCTAATAAAGTTATCTCAGGCATGATTTTTGATTCAAAGTACTCACTGTAATTAGGGATATATTTCCATTCTTTTCAAGGAGACATATGTGTGCTTGTTTCTTTGGAACAAAATGAAGTTTGTGTGTAGGTCTTATGATTTAGAGAATATTCTTTTTTTTCCCTTTCCTTTTTGCAGTCTGTCTTATCATTTATGCTAGGTATCAGTATTTTCTCTTTCCTGATATCTGTTAATGCTAACTCTTAAAATTAAGTGATCTCAATGTTTGAAAGCTTTCCCTCAGAATGTGTTTCTTTCATTTTAGATACTCCTTTCATTTTTGTCTTCCTTTGACTACACGCTTTAGTCCATGGGTACCCATTTTCATAGACCTCATCTTGTGTTGCAGAGCAATCCAATTGTTTAGGCTTAATTTGAACTTCAGTGCTGTCATTTTAAAAAGTCTGACGGACCCGTGGACACAGCAGCTCACAGATGTCATCTCTGAGTGCCTTGTAGATCCTTGGGTGAAAGGAGCTATGTGACTGCAAAGTACTGTTTTTATTTTTTCTTTTACCATTATTATTAGCTTTATCTTATTTAGCCTTCTGCAGAGCAAAGCCTCTTAAAAGCTTTTACTGAACTTCTGAATTTGAATGTAGAATATTCAAGATAGCATCTAAATTTCTTTGTAGCTTTGCTCTGAGAAATGCAATAAACTATTGCAGTATTTTTGTCTCCTACCAAGGCTGCCTATGAGTAAAATTTTAAAGATAAAAATCTAAAAGTCATTCACTATTCCTAAATGAGTGGCATTTGCTCTGCTCTTTAAAAGGAACACACAACAGAGGTAGTTGAAGAAACTTGTTTAGCCTAATTTTAAAGTGGAATATTGACTTTTAAAAAAGCATAACTCAGATATTGTATATACTTATGCAGTGTTTGAGCAACATTTGCTTTTTCTGGAAAAAGGTTAGTAATTTAGGTGCCTCTCAAATTCACAGGGTTCGGGGAAATAGAACGACTTCAGAATTTTCATATATAATTGGAATAGTAATATTTCAAAAGTGTCTTTGCTGTTTGTTGAGTGCACATCTCTTTGATACCATCTTTTTAGTTTTTACCAGAATTTAATACCTTGAGCATTTTCTCTAGTACCTTTAAAGTCAGTTTTTTTTGGTGATCCAGCATGAATGGTCCCATTAGACAATGTTAATCATTTACAAATAGTTCTTTAAAGTATACTCATAAAATCTCTTCCTGGTTTAAGATATTTTATAATCAGCCAGTTTGTGTTTTCCTCAGACTTATAAGTGGCTACTTTAGCATTCAGCTATGTAAAGAAAACCATCTGTACTATTTCAAGATTTTAGCATAATTCTGTTGAATTCTGATGGCCTTATTTATATTTTATTTGCAGAAAGATGATCATCAATTTTTTTTAAACTGTAAAAATTCTATTCTTAAAATTACTACAACATTGGGTGGTAGTTCTGTGAAACAGATGGCGAGTTATGTAAAACAAGACTATTTTCAAAAACGGTCTTTTAAGGAGGATACAGTGGATTACAATGTTTGTATTTTATAGACTTGATAAGGAAGATTTTGTGCTTTTTCTTTAGAGATCAATTTCAGTAATTTTTACAGATAGTATTTTTTAATAGTTTTTTAAATCAACTATCCATTGTAATTATTTTATTTAAATCTGATTTAACCTAGCCATGGACATTCTGAGTTGTAGTTACATAAACACAGAGGGTTTTAGTGCTATTAAAACTTTTTTTTCTTTTACAGAACTATTGCACGGCCAAAACGTTGTATATATCTGATTCAGACAAGAGAAAGCACTTCATGTTGTCTGTAAAGATGTTCTATGGCAACAGTGATGACATTGGTGTGTTCCTCAGCAAGCGGATAAAAGTCATCTCCAAACCTTCCAAAAAGAAGCAGTCATTGAAAAATGCTGACTGTATGTATACTTTAGTCTTATTTGTACCAACTCTCACCATGAATTAACAAGACACACTATGTTTTTAAATTTTAAATTGCCTTTTCAATAGCCAGTTCATTCTTTACTAATATGTTTGTGAACCTCTTCATTGTTTTCTCTTTTAAATTAAAAATGGACAGTACCCGGTCTAATGTCTCATTTCTCAACCAGAATTGGTTCCTTAGTGCTCACCAGGAACATCTGGGGAAATGGGAGGTTTTTTCCTTTTGTTGTCACAGTGACTGGACAGGGTGATGTTGACAGTGGATGTCTTGAGCCTGCGATGCTAAATGTCCTGCAGTGCCCAGAATATTTCCCTTTCCATAAAGACGTGATCCACTCAGAATGTCAAAAAGCACCCCTCTGAAAAACACTATTATATCAAATGGGTTTTGGAAGGCCATCCTGAGAACCTGAACAAAATTTTTCACATGATTGTTCTGGCAGACGCTGCTGTCTCATCAGCAAATTTTTAGACTGCTAAAAAAGATGCATGATATCTATTTGAATTATACATTTCAACCCCCACATCCATTTTTCTTTCTTTTTAAAATTTAACTTCTTACTATAAAAACTTTCAAATTTATATTAAGGGGAAAAAATAGAATAATGTAACTCACCACCTGGACTCAACAGGTTTTGTCAATTCTGTTTCATTGTCACATTGTCACCGCCAGCACCACTTCCTCCCTCTTCCAGCTGCTGGGATATTTGAATGTAAATCTCAAATATCCTGTCCTTTCAACCAAAGTTTCGGCAGTGGTGACTAACATGTGACTTTTCTTCTGAAACATCATTATACCTAACAGAGTTGACAGTAGCTCTTTAATGCCATCTGATACCCATTTCATGCACAGATGTATCAGACTGGCTCAGCCAAGGCTTTTTACAGTTTAGTTTGGTTTTACTGTTGGTTTGTTCAAACATGGATCCAAATAAGGTCCACACACTTTAATCTGTAATATTAATAGTTTTTCTCCCTCTCCTGCCTTATTTTTTGAGTTGGAGTCTCACTTTGTCATCCAGGCTGGAGTGCAGTGGCACACTCATGACCACCCCAGTGTCGACCTGCTGGGTTCAGGCGATCCTTCCGCCTCAGCCTTCCAAGTAGCTGGTACTCTAGGCTTACACTACCATTCCTGGCTAAGTTTTTGATTTATTGTAGAGACGAGGTCTCACCAAGTTGCTCTGGTTGGTCTTGAACCTGTAGGCTCAGGCACTCTACTCGCCTCGGCCTCCCAAAGTGCTAGGATTATAGGCTGAGCCACTGAGCCCAGCCACCTTTTTTTTTTTAAATGTTGTTTATTTGTTGAAGAAATTTGATGTCATTTTTTCTGTGAAATTTCCATATTCTGGATTTGCCTGATTACATAATTCTCTGTCTTTCATATTTTCCATAAACTGGTGGTTAGACGTAAAGACTTTTAGAATTAGTTGGTCCTGTATACTTTCACTTCCATCAGACCAAAAGTCATATAATATCTGGTTATCCTGTTTTTTGTCATGTTAAGATTGATAATAATTAAGTTCAGTTGTTAGTTTGTAATCAATCAATAAAGTTCCTCAGCAACATTTAACATAATGGTTCTAGTAGCCATTGATGATGGCTGTTAAATCCATTTCATTAAGGGCTGCAAAATGGTGATTTTAAACATTTTTTATTCACAGTTTCTGCTTTTGTTAACTAGAGGATCTTCTACAAAGAGGAACTCTGCCGTGTCAATGCTTTGCTTCAAGTGTAGTCTGTAGAGAAAAGGCAGGACTAAATGCTTGATTGTTTATTCATCTGCAGAATAGTTATAATATTATCTGAAGATGGCCAATGCAGTTCTAGGGTTTTTGTTTTGTTCACTTTTTATTTATTTATTTTTATCATGAATTCATGGGTTTTTATGTATTGGATGTATTTTAAACCACTCCGTCATTATTAATGCCATTAACTTAATATTATGGAAAATTTCAACACATTAAAGTAGAAAATTTCATAATAGAATGAAAACTCTTATGTTCATCCTCTGACATCAACAGTGATCTTAATTTCAGGTCAATCTTATTTTATCTTCATCTTTACCCCTACTCCAGTCCCCTCTCCTCTGTCACCATTTAGTTTAATGTAGATCCCAGGCATATCATATCATCTATAGCTGTGTCTATGTGTTTCTCAAAGATAGGAGATCTCTTGTTTTTTCATGGTCACCTAAAGACAACATATAAAACAACTATATAAGAAGTAGTAGTATCAAATATTCAGTCAGTGTTCAAATTTAAAATTTTCTAAAATATCTTAAAAAATAAATTCGTTTGAATCAAAATTCAAATCTACCAGATATTGGAATATATATTGTTTTGAAATATCCTTGAATGTTCTTTAATCTATGTACACACCCACCCCACAATTGATTTATTCAAGAAACTTTAGCCATTTGATCATTAGAGATTTCCACATACTGGATTTTGTTAATTTCATTCCTTTGGTATAGTTTAATGTGTTTTTTGTAAAATGTTGGTATCAAAAAGAAGCAACCAGATGCTAGTTAAAGTTGGAAAGACAGATTTCATTCAGTACTATTGCAGTAGGGGAAAAGAAAAGAGACTTAAGTATAGAATCGAGTTCAATTCTGAAATACAACAAAGACAAGGGATGGAAAAATCACTAAGAGGAGACGTGGGTGGGGGGAGGGGTTCTTGCTGACCCAACTTGACAGGATTCCTTCTAAAGGCAGGCCAAGGTGATCATGCATTAAGGGCAGGGGATGACTTAGCCAGATGCCTGCCTCAAGTGGGCTCAGCAGACTGTTAACAGGGTCACAGGACAAAGACTGGTTGAAAAGAATGCTCAGAAGAGCCCAGCTGAAAGTTTGGTGAAGGAGAGAATCTCTGTCAGTAGTTGATCTAGAAGCTCGATTAGACTTAAGTTTGTTCTTTGGTTCTTTCTTGTTGCTAAAGGTCAAGGCCTACTTCACGGATGGTATGTGCTCTCCCTGCACCAGGAGCCACAGAATGTCTTGTGTCCAAGTGGTTTATAATTTAAATTACAGCCCTTGGCACTTGAATGTCCCCTCCCAGGAGATTGCTGGCTATTATATAGGATAAATTTGCCAGCACATATTTTTCAAAAATGTATGTTTTCTTGAAATTTTCCATTCAAATTGTGTAGAAAAAGCAAATAAAGAGATTGAAATATACACCAAGATATATGTAAAACGATATCAGCTACATTACATAGCGAATGTGCAGAGTGCTTTCACAGTGGTGCACAGACTGGACAATAAATTACATATTATTAATTTGAGAGGAAGAAAACAAGACTGCATTGTCTGTTCAAATAGAAAAACACCAGGTGTAAGACAGCAAGCAAGTGACTGTTGTACAGCATGTATCAATGCATGTTGCAGTGCATGTTGGTGATTGTTTCATGTTACCACACATTAGAAAAATGTTCAGATATTAAATTTTGATTTTTTTTTTGTCATAAATAAGTTTCTCAATGCCCCAAATTGATTATAAGTCAAGTATCATTACAATAAAATAGCTGGGTCCAACACTCTACTATTTATTATGAAGTGATTTATTAATAAAAAGGTGCAGTTGAGTTGCTGTTAGGTGATTTGCGAAATATATCTGAGTGCAAAAGGGTTAAACTTAATTTTTAATCTTAGCTTCTTGATGGCAGAGAATGTATTTCACTTTTAGAATATTTTCCTGCTTATGTAGGTGTTTTTTTCACTAAATTTCATGCAACACAATACTTAAAGATATTTAGAAGAAAGCACAATTTTCTAAAGTCAGTATGCAGAAACAGTTGCCATCAACTTTGATAAATATCCTTCTAGACTCTTTTCTATGTGCATATTTCGTAGGATTGGATGCAAGCACGTGGAGACACATGTACAATCACATACTAAATTATGGATTTTTGCCTAATGGACCCACAGTGTACAGAGTTTTTTACAGCCTGCTATTCAGTGATGTTCCAGGGACATATTTTATTGTCAGTGTATTTAGATGTATATTATTTAAATAGGTGATCAGTGTTATAATTTATTTAATCAAATTCCCATTGCTAGACATTTATTATTTTTAAAATAATTTTTTCTCTAATGATCAGCACTACATTAAACATACTGTATAACTCTCATTTAAAAGTGATTTTTATGGACATTTGATAACATTAGCTTGACATTGTTAATAAGAGTTACTTGACCTTTTTTGTTATCATCTGTACTTTATTGGAAGGTTAAAATATTTGTCAAATCTGTTAATTGTTAAATTATAATGAGGAATAACCCTAATCTGCCAAGCAAAATCCCCTTTTCATGCTCCCTCCACTCCCCTGATACAGTCACATAAATTGGGGTTGTTTTTCTCTTTGCAGTATGCATTGCCTCAGGAACAAAGGTGGCTCTGTTTAATCGACTTCGATCCCAGACAGTTAGTACCAGATACTTACATGTAGAAGGAGGTAATTTTCATGCCAGTTCACAGCAGTGGGGAGCATTTTACATTCATCTCTGTGAGTATAAGATGCACATTTGATGTTTTTGGTGTGAAATTGTTGAGTTCTTTTTGATAATGAGATAAAGGGATATATTAAGTTTTGTCATTTTCCTAAGCAGATAAGGACTTCTAAAAGATGATAATTTGCTCTCCTTTTTCACCCACTGCAGTGGACGATGATGAATCAGAAGGAGAAGAATTCACAGTCCGAGATGGCTACATTCATTACGGACAGACGGTTAAACTTGTGTGTTCAGTCACTGGCATGGCACTCCCAAGATTGGTATGGCTCTAACTTTGGCATCAGTGATATGTGAATTAAAAATTCTGAGAACAGCAAAGTCACAACATTCAGATGTAAAAACATGCCTCAATTTTATGCTTCTTAATTTACAAATACGTTAATAATCCTGCTCTTTATAATCGATAGTTATATCCTACCCTATTTCAGAGGTGCTTTAGGGTTATTAACTAGTTTCTATAGTAAGTACATTCTTAATGACTTCCTCTTAAACTATTTCTAATAAATTTTGATGGCAGTTTTCTTTTTGGTTGTATATCTGAACATGTTCAATAGAGGGCACTATAAATTGTGGTTTTTTTATTTTTTATTTTTTTAAACTAATGCAGATCTGCTGCATTAATTTTTTTGTGGTGCCTGCTATATTCTGATGTAGGACCAGATTTTCAAAAGCAAAAAAAATTCTTATTCCTTTTAAGCTATGGGCAACCTCTTTAGTTCCCCTCCTACTATGGGAGCTTTTCTGTCTTCTCAATAAATCCTCCTTTTAAAAAAAAAAGATATAAGCGTATGTGTGTGTGTGTGTGTGTGTGTGTGTGTGTGTGTGTATGTGTGTGTGTATATGTGTGTGTGTGTGTGTGTGTATATATATATATATATATATATATAATTTATTTATTTATTTTTTGAGTTGGAATCTCACTCTATCACCTAGGTTGGAGTGCAGTGGCCTGCTCACAGCCACCACAGCCTTGACCTGCTGGGTTCAGGTGATCCTTCCACCTCAGCCTTCCAAGTAGCTGAAACTATAGGCACGCACTTCCTCACCGGCTAATTTTTTGATATATTGTAGAGATGTTTTGCCATGTTGTCCAGGCTGGTCACAAACCTGAGAGCTCAGGCAGTCCACTTACCTTGGCCTCCCAAAGTTCTAGGATTATAGGCGTGAGCCACCATGCCTGACCTACATAAGCATAATTTTTATTAATGTACTCTCTTACAGGAAGATAACTTTGTTAAAAATTAAGTTAAAATGGTATCTTAATCTAGGAGAGAGGCATAGAATTTAGGGCTTTTGCTTACTGTAATAACCTCTTTTTTTAGTAAATTGGAAACAAATGTTCCTTACGACTCCAGTTCCCTCCACTTCCAGTTTTCCCCCCTCCTTTTCTGATACAATGCACTCTGGTTATATTAAAGATGAAGGATTTATGAGTAAGTTTAACTCACGATCAGGTTGGGGGGATTGGGTGAGTGGTAGAGCATGCAGTATTACTATTCTTGAATATGCCTTACATTTATCTTTTGGTGAAATATTCCACTGGCTTATTTTCTGGGGCTGTTTCAACAGATTTTGGGTTGGTCTTCAATTCTCTAAGTAAATGCATAATTTCTTTGTTATTTTGTTTTATTTTGTCATGATTGTACAAGGTGAATTTATTTCTCATTTCAATTTAATAAGCAAAAATAGGTGAAATGTAGTAAAATTAATCTTTAAAACCTTGAAATTATAATAAAAAGGGTAAAGGTAAGGAGGGAAGGGTACAGAAAGGAGGACAGAAGCAAACAAAACGACCAAATCAGCATTTACTCATTCTTCTCTTCTCGTTCTTGATAGGTCACTCTGACCTAAGGGGGATGGATGTTTGTTTGTTTCAACATTAGATGCTTGTGCTATAGAAGCACAGTTGCAGAGGCTTATGCCTCTGATCACACATACCACTGAGGAGACAGACCCGAGTCTTAAAACTTCCAGTTTTATGTAACGTACCACCAGTCTGTCTTGCTTGTCATCTCTAATTGAATTTCTTACATTTAAAACTAGATAGCGCTGATTATAAAAACAATGAACTAAAAATTAACTTAGAGAATGCATTAGCAAAAGTTGCAGTACTGTCATTAACATGCTAATAAATAGGTCTTTCTAGAGACTCCATGACTGAGGAATTCTGACTAGTTTTTTCAAAATCATGGATAGACTTTAGATGTATGCACTACTGTCTAACCCCTTTGACATCCGTTTATGTACAGTTTCAATGAAGAAACTGTTCTTTAGTTTGCATATGCTTTTTTTTTTTTTTTTGAGTTGGAGTCTTACTCTGTCGCCCAGACTGGAGTGCAGTGGCCACTCCTGGCCACCGCAACCTCGACCTGCTGGGCTCTGGCGATCCTTCCACCTCAGCCTTCGAAGTAGCCGGAATTACAGGCGCGTGCTACCACGCCCAGCTAATTTTTTGATTTATTGTAGAGATGAGGTCTCGCTGCCCAGGTGGGTCTCGAACCCGCAGGCTCAGGCAATCCACTCACCTCAGCCTCCCAAAGGCGCAGGATTACAGGCTGAGCCACCGAGCCTGGCTTGCATATGCTTTTTAAGAGAATAATTCTACCTTGTTATCTGATAGTTGTTTTTAGTGCTTCCTAGAATGTCAGCCTCATTGTAGAGCTGTTTGGAAAACCCTGTCTTTCCAAGACCAAGTTTCAGTGGGATTAATGTCCTAGTAAAAAATCCTGTTTTTGGGGTGCTCTCAAAACAGGCACAACCCATGCAGATCTAGCCAACTAACAAGAAACTCCAGTTGGCCATTTACCCCACGTCCTCACCAAGGTTGTCGAAAACTCCAGGGTGGAAGTCATCTCAGATCTGCTCCATCACCTGTAGAGCTGTACTTCTGAGGCTTTATTAATGTGATAAATTACACCGATAACCACTGGTTGTTTGGTATAGAAAGTACCAAATAACCCAAATAAACTTCACCAACACTTCCTGGGCATTTAAACAGGCATAGTGTTAGGCATGTGAATAGGATGTGTTTCCTGTCCCCAGGTAGGGACTGTATCCACATAACCTCAGAAATACGGAAAACATTATGCTAACAGTTTGCAAAACCAGCTTAGAGGAGAAAGCTGGTTGGAGTAATCCCTGATGTTTTGAGGATATACAATCTACCACACACACAGCTTAAGTTATATGAGAACTACCTTTTTCTTAATTTTCTTGATAATTAGAAATCATCAAAGCAAGCTTTTGGTGCCATCTTTGGACCTCTTTGGTTTCTTTATTGGCGAGCTCTAGGTCATTCCACAGTGTCCATGTTCAGAGAACTGTCATTGTTAATGAAAAGCAGATCTAATGTGGCCCATGTTCTCAGTGTGCTTATTATTACTAGCTAGTGGACAAATAGTAGGTTACACAAAGTACAGTTTTATAGACAAATTATGACTCTCGTGTGGTAGAGAGTACCATAGACTTATAGGAAGGAAGCTTTAGACTTATTCAGAAAATCCATTTTTTGTCTAATTGGATTGAATTTAAAACCTTGGCATTGATTTGAAACATTTTGCTTGAGTTTACTCTCACAGACCGTCTTAGAAAATATAATTGCTGGGTCAGGCGTAGTGGCGCATGCCTATAATCCCAGCACTTTGGGAGACCGCGGTGAGAGGATTGCCTGAGCCTACAGGTTCAAGACCAGCCTGGACAACTTGGCAAGACCTCATCTCTACAACATATCAGAAAATTAGTTGGGCATGGTGGCTTATGCCTGTAGTTCCAGCTACTTGGAAGACTGAGGCAGAAGGATCACCTGAACCCAGCAGGCTGAGGTTGCGGTGGCCAAGAACGTGCCACTGCACTCCAGTCTAGGCAACAGAGTGAGACTCCAACTAAAAAAAAAAAAAAGAAAGAAATTGTTAAGATTGCAATACCTCAAGCTGGGCTCGGTGGCTCAGCCTGTAATTCTGCACCTTTGGGAGGCTGAGGTGAGTGGATTGCCTGAGCCCGCAGGCTCGAGACCCGCCTGGGCTGGCGAGACCTCATCTCTACAATAAATCAAAAAATTAGCTGGGCGTGGTAGCGTGCGCCTGTAATTCCGGCTACTCGGAAGGCTGAGGTGGAAGGATCGCTGGAGCCCAGCAGGTCGAGGCTGCGGTGGCCGGGTGCGGCCACTGCACTCCAGTCTGGGCGACAGAGTGAGACTCCAACTCAAAAAAAAAAGATTGCAATACCTCCCTTTTAAACTCAGATATTAATGGTGTTAGTAGAATGACAATTATTCTAATAAACTGTTGAGTATATACAGTCTCTTAAACTTTGTGTGACACTTGACACATACAAGGTAATCACCACGTAGATGATGATGATGATGAGTAAGATTTGATAGAGTAAAGCCTTTTACGCTTATTTTCTTTTTAGACTGACCACTCTTAGCAACATACAAACTTGGTATAACTAATTCTCACCTTGACATCAAAAGAAAGCCCTTCCTTGACTATATGTCTCTGTCCCTCGTTCTCACAGCCCATTTCCCGTGTTCTTTTCATAGCAAATGTCTCCTCCTCACCGTCTAATCCCCTGAAACCTCTCAGGTCTTTTTTTGAATAGGAGTCTCATTCTGTCTCCCAGGCTAGAGTGCAGTAGCACGCTCACAGCCACTGCAGCCTCAACCTGCTGGGCTCAGGTGATACTTCAGCCTCAGCCTTCCAGGTAGCTGAAATTACAGGCGTGCGCCGCCATGCCCAACTAATTTTTTTGATATTCTAGAGAAGAGATCTCGCCACATTGCCCAGGCTGGTCTCAACCTGGTGAACTCAGGCAGTCCTCTCTCCTCTGCCTTCCAAAGTGCTGGGGCTACAGGCGTGAGCCACTGTGCCTGGCCCTTTTGGATCTTTTTGTCTCAAAGACTCCACACCTGCCCATGGAAGCCACTAAGGACTTCCAGACAGATGATCTCATGGCACCTCTCTGTCCTCATCTGACTTCATTTTCTCTAAGCATTTGTCACAGATATCCTCCTTTCAGGGTTACATCTCCTCCAACTGACCTCAGAGCACCCAGAGCCAAGTTCTCAGACCGCTTCTCCTTTTTTTTTTTAATTAAAAAATTTTTATTTTGAAGATGTAAGGTACAGTTCAGTTAGGTATACAGGTGGTCATTCTACAGGTAAAATTTTGGTACCCATTTTTTTTTTTTTTTTTTTTTTTTTTTG